GCTAAGTTACAGGTAGCTGAGGGTCACCCGATGTGGGTGCTGGGAATTGAACTCTTGTCCTCGGTAAGAGCAGTATGTGCTCTTAACCACGGAGCCATCTCTGCAGCCCCAATTTATTGTGTTTTTGAGAAAGGGTCTTGCTATGTTGCCCTGGCTGGCCTGGAACTCACTAGGGAAACCAAGCTAGCCTCAGACATGATGTGACCTTCCTCACCCTGCTTCTCAAGTGCTGCGGTTACAGGCATGCACCCCAACCCCTGGCTGTTTCCACACTAATTCTGAAAAGCAGCAACATGAATTCAGATCAGCATGTAGGTGAGCCTGGCAAGTCAGTTGTTTGGGTCCAAGTGTCAAAGGCATCCAACACCAAAGAAGGCAGTGCTGATTCATGGGTAAAGAGATGAGTTTGTACTACCTAAAGTAGGACAGAAAAATAGCATTGTCTGGCAGGTTGTGGAGAGAGTTAAACATGTACTTGTGACAGAAGAGAGAGGAGGGTGAGGAAGGCTCGCACCGTAACTGGGATACTCTGTGTTTCGATCTGGGAGCTGGTTGCAGAGGATGTCTGACAGGAAAATTCCACAAGCTCTAAGTTTAGCAGATGTTTTCCATTGCAGTATGTGTCATGGTTTGATGTGCGTGCCCTCCACAGGACTATAGAGCTATACGATAGTAAACGCGCACATGGTTTTAAAATACTAAATACAAGGCCGTTTGTTATAGATGTCAGTGAGAAGTCAAAACAAAATTCAGTTTTAAAATACTAGGCCTGGACTGTAGAGATAGCTTTGCGGTTAAGAGCACTGGCTACTCTTGCAGATGACCTGGGTTCGATTCCCAGAACCCACATGGCAGCTGACATGACAACCGTCCATAACTCCAGAACCAGGGGAATCCGACGCCCTCTTCTGACCTCCGCAGGCATTGTACAACATAGGTGCACTTACGCACATGCAGGCCATACACTCATACACAAAAATGAAAAATAACAAATGTTTCAAAATACTAGGCTTAAGAGCACTTCTTCAACTTTTAAGAATACTGAAGTACCCTTTTATTGATATTTTAAGTCAGCATACAAAATGAGGGGTTTTATGATGGCATGTTGATATACATAGTGTACGTTTTTCATATTCACTGCTCACTCACTCTTCCCTTACTGGTCCCCCACCTCCCCACAAACAGTACCCCCTTTCTGCTTTTGTACCACGTGTTCCATTCCCTCCCCCCTTCCTTAGGACCTCTTCCTTTCCTCTCCTGGTCTTTCTCCTTTTAGGACCTATGGCATTGGTTACTTGCTATGACAGAATACAAAAGCAACCCAGGAAAGGAAGGGCTCATGGGCTCATGGGCTCATGGTCTGGGACGATAAGTCGGTGACCCACACCATGCTGGGGAACGCACGGTGGCAGACATCTCCTTGGAGGTAGGAACATACACCCGAGTCTCCTCAGCTCCTCACATCTGGAACAAGAGGCAGAGATGGAAGACAGGAAGCAAGTGGCTAAAGCCCCATCCCAGGCCCCCACTTCCTGTAGCTCAGCCCCACCTCCTGAAAGTTTCACCACCTCTCCATACAGAGCCACCAGCTGTGAACCAAGTGCTCAGAAGTTAGAAGTTTGGTGTGGGTGTCACTGCGATAAAGTCAAGATGCTGACAGGGCGCAGTCCCTCCCAGAGTCCCTTCCCTTTCCAGTGTCTACAGGCCACATGCTTTCCTTGGCTTGCGGTCACCTTCCTCCATCTTGAAGGCCAGCAGTTTGGGGTCCGAGCCCTTTCTACATTTCACAGCTCTTACCTCTTCCAGCGCCCACCTGGATGATCCAGAATAGTCTCCAAATTTAAGGTCTGATGACGGGCACCCTTCATGCCATCTGTAACCTGGATTCCCTTCTGTTTTGTACCTAAGATATTCACAGGTCAAGGGATTAGGATGTGCGACTCTTTGACAGGCGGCTACGCTTCTATTGAAACTGTAGGTCAAGTCAGCCTGAGGGAGCCTGGAATCCGGGTTGGGGGCATGGCTCCAAGGGAAACCCTCACTCAGAGCCTGCGTCCTATGCTGTGCTTAGTGCTGTCTACCCCCAGCCAGCTCACCAGGCTACTGCACCTTGCTTCCATCTGTATAATGAGGGGGTCGCAAGTGGTATTTCCCCAAGGTTCCTTCTTTTTTTTTTTTTTTTTGGTCTTTTGAGATGGGGGCTCCCCATAGCCCCAGCTGGCCTGGAACTTGCTATGTAGACCAGGCTGGCCTCAAACTCCTCCTGCCTCTGCCTCCCAAGTGCTGTGATTAAAGGCGTGTGCCACCCTGGCGCCCAAGCTTCCTTCCACCAGTTTATGGAAAATACCTATTGCCGTATCTAAACATTTAGAATCAGTCACTGCTGCAGAGCAAACTTCCAATAAAAAAATCCTTTGTGCGATAGTCTGCTCTTGGGTTTGGGACTTCTCCCGCTCTTGAGAGCCCATTTCCTGGCATGTTCTGCTGTGGAAAACTGCACTTTTCCTGAGTTGTCTCAAGTTTGGAGATGCAGCCAGAACCGGAGGTGTCCCAAGGAGCTGTCCTGTCAAAGGTGTGCACCACCACACCCAGCTCCATTTAAAAAAAAAAAAAAATTTGTTTTTAATTTTATGAGTGTATTGCCTGCATATATGTAAGTGCGCCCATGTCACACAGTGCCTGTGGATGTCAGAAGAGGGCATCAGATCCCTGGAACTGGAGTTACAGACAGTTGTTAGCTGCCATGTGGGTGCTGGGACTCCAACCCAGGTCCTCTGCAAGAGCAGCCGGTGCCCTTGACTGCTGAGCCATCTCTCCAGCCCCCTGCATTTACCTTTTTGATGCATTCAGATATTTTTGGAGCACAGCCATGTGCTGATGCTAAGATGTTATTGTATGACAGGCTTCTAGGGTAGTGCAACACACACACACAGAGACACACACACACAGTACACACTTCACGCACATACCATACTACATACACAGATACATACACACCGTACCACATACACAGATACACACACACACAGTACACACTTCACGCACATACCATACTACATACACAGATACATACACACCGTACCACATACACAGATACACACACACACGATTTGCTTGCCCCAGAAAGGGAACCCACCCACGACAGACCAAAGTAACAATTACATCAAAGTCCACCGTGGTGAACCAATGAAAGTTTATTGGAGTTACTAACAGGAGTGTGGCGAGGGGTCACTTACAGGGTCGGGAGTGTGGGTTGACTTACAGGGGCAGGGATGACTCAGAAGGTGCTGCAGCACTGGAAGCCCCCCACCGCCCACCCCCGAGGGTGCTGACTCATGAAGCTGCGGTCCTTCCGCGCTGTGCACAGCTTGCGATGGCCTGACAGGTGGGGGAATATCCTCCCCACTGTTGCCTACTTCTAAAAGCTAGAGAGAATATGGGGGCGCAGGGATCTCCAGGATATTTTATACTATGGGGGTGGTAGTAAAAACCTTAGCTGATAGGTACTTTGTGGGATACCCTATTTACATGTAGAGGTGGGCTCCTGCCAGGCTGCCAGACTGTCTGAAAATCACACAGGAAAAGCTGGCAGTTTCCAGAGCCGGAGGCCATGGCTACTTCAAAAGATGAGTCAGGAAGATGCTGGGAAGGCACCCTGCTGATAAAAGGAGTCTCTGCATATGAAGCCGAGCCCATGGGCTATCCGGACATGGAGAGACTGCTACTTTACACAACAGGGGTCCCCAACAGGAGAAGCCCTCTGGAATCTTGCAAGTTTCAGTTTTCCCAGACTTGAAGTTTGCTAACCTTCTGAATCTCATGACCCAGCCCCATTTCTCCCCCTGGAGGGAACATTGTGATTTGGAGGACACAGCTGTCAAACTCGGGAACTGTGGTGGTCCACACCTTTAATCCGAGCACGTGGGAGGCAGAGACAGATGAATCTCTGTGAGTCTGAGGTCAGTCTGGGCTACATGGTGAGTTCCAGGCCAGCCAGGGCTACAAAATGAGATTCTGTCAAAAAAACCCAAAAAACCCCAAACAAACCAAAACCCCCCAGGGTCTGCAGAGATGGATCAGTGGTTAAGGACACATGGAGCTCTTACAGAGGACCCAAGTTTGGTGCCCAGCACTCAATGTCAAGCAGCTCACATCTGCCTGTAACTCCACCAACTCCGGCTCTAGGGGCAGCCTGATGCCTGTCACTTCTGCGGTATCTGCGCTCAGTGCAGTGTTCACACGCACAGGCACACACATATGTACATTACTTAGAAATAAATCTTTAGGGAAAGCTCAGACACTGTCCTCACTAGACTAAACTCCGGGGCAAGGCCTTGCCACGCCATGGGAGAACTCCGTGTTTTCCTTTGTTACCCGTTGAGACCCCCAGCATGGTAGAGTTGACACGGAAAAAAAGAGAAAACAGTTGTAAGGCTGAAAGTCACTGAAGGACAGATAAACGGCCTGGGGATGTGGCTGCATGCTAGAGCACCTGCCTGTCATTCATGAGGCCCGGAGCTCAATTCCCAGAACTAAAATAAATAAAATATGAAAAAAGAAGAGAAAAATGCGTGACTGAAAGCAAGTTTTCTGGCCTGACCTTACCGTTTCTTTGCTCCTGGTGGATTTGCTTGGTGTCTGTTTTGATGTCACTGTCCCTGGAATTCCAGTATCTCTCAGCCCTGCAGGTCTGTGTGTCTAGAGGATGGTACCCGGAGGCCTTCTCAGCCCTGCAGGTCTGTGTGTCTAGAGGATGGTACCCGGAGGCCTTCTCAGCCCTGCAGGTCTGTGTGTCTAGAGGATGGTACCCGGAGGCCTTCTCAGCCCTGCAGGTCTGTGTGTCTAGAGGATGGTACCCGGAGGCCTTCTCGGGGTCTGAACCCAGATCGTGTGTGCATTTTATTTAGATGCTCATTCACTTCAGGTCTCCCAAGCCAGGCAGTTCTTTAAAATGAGCTCCCAACATTTGGACACAGCTCCCATCCCTTTCCCCTCTGCAGGAAGGATTTGTCCGTGTCGACCGAGATTATGTGCTGAAGTCTGCAGAACTGGCCAAAGCCGGAGGGTGCAAACACTTCAACCTGCTGTCCTCCAAGGGGGCTGATAAGTCCAGCAGCTTTTTGTACCTACAAGTGAAGGTTTGTTTGCTTCTGTCTTTCATGGACTTTGGGTAATCGGCAATACTAAGTAATCTAATATAATGTTTAAAGAAGCATTTAAATACATTATATTATGCACTTTTCAAAGTGACAGGGACAGTGTTTGGAGGAACAGACGTAGGAAGTGGAGTGATTTAAAGCTTGCTCCCAGTGTCTTCCCTATTATTTAGTGAAGTGCATGGGTGAGCAGCGGCCAGCCTTCTGTCCCCTCAGTGCCTCTCGGGCCTGGAGGAGCCTTTCCTTCAGCTTCCCTACTGGGCAAGAGGACAGAGCTTTCATACCTCTGAAACCTCTGAGGCAGTTAGCCTACAGCAGTTTGCCAATTACCAGCTAGACTTTCTTAAAAGTCTTGCTTTATTGAAAAAAAAAACAACCCAAATCGTACACATTTTGCTCTGGGCAGTACAACACGTGATGTCCCTAACTTGTTTTAATGTGAAATCTCCATCTCCTAACCTTGAAGCAGCTGGTGCTGCAGGACAGGTCTGGCTCCGTGCTGTGCCTCTGATGCAGTCCTGTGCCCTTAAGCAGCAGCACCTCAGAGGTTAGGAAGCTGCAGACGTTTTGGGTCTGCAGCTTCACAGATGCGCCACTGGCTTCCAGCAGGAGGGGAGCAGCATCTTATTAGCCAGAGACTTGTCCAGAAGTCCTCACGTGGGTCAGATCCACTTGCTAAAAGTCCTCGACTAGCAATGAAATGGATGCGTTGTAAATGCCAGTCACCAGCTCTGCGTCATGACTGTTGAGACACTTGGAGACCCTTGATGCCTTAACTGCAGGCTGACACCTGAGGTCTCTGTTCTTTACCTGTGCTGAGCCCCTTCATTGCCTTCGTCTCTTTACTAAGTGGACCTGGAAAAGCTGTGACACTTGAGTGCTCCTGGCCTCTGTTTACAGAGGTGCCTGGTGTGAAAATTCATGGTTTCATAAATTTAAAGCACCATCTGTTTGTAATCTCCCTGTTTCTAGAGGTTTGGGTAGCTGCAGGGTTGGTGCTTAGAAGTGAGTGACACAGAGGGTCATGTCTAGCCCACTGTGGTTTTCTGACCTGCTGTATCTGCCCATATGCTGGACAGGTGACTGCGGCCTGTAGTGTTGGTCCAGGACGGAGGTGGGGATGCTTTGAAGGGTGAATTAATCCATCATTTACCCTCTTGGGTCTATTTTGATTTTAATAAATGAGGGGAGGGCCCCTGGAACGTGGTCACTACCAGGGGCCACACCTTTAAAGAAAACTGACACTCCTCCCCAAGAAACCATCAACTGTCCCGTTAGGGATGGGGGCTCATGAACCCCTCCCCTTCCATGTTAGAATGTTGACTGGCTTGATCTCCTGCAGGTCTTGTGCAGGCAGCCACAGCTGCTGTGAGCTCATGAGTGCAGCCGTCTCCATGTCCACAACAGTTTTGGTCCAGTCGCCCTTACCCTCTGGCTCTTACTATCTTTCTGGCCCCTGTTCTACAACGGTCCCTAAGCCTTGGTCGGGGGAGGCAGCGATATAGATGTCCCATTTGTGACTGAGCACTCTGTGGACATTTATTCTCTGTACCTCAACCAACAGCAGACCGTTCTTAACCGGGATACATGGCGGGATTAAATGACCTCTTCCTTCACTTCCAGATGCTTGGACTCGGGCTCTGTTGGCATATCTGCATCATGATATAGCTTTTCAAGCCTGAGTTATTCTCTTAAGCTTATCTGAGAACACTGGTCTTGATTAGGCACTGATTTTTTTTTTTCTCTTTTTTTTCCTTAACAGGGAGAAGTGGAAGCCAAGGTTGAAGAGTTAAAGTTTGATCGCTATTCTGTGTTTCGGCCGGGGTAAGCATGCTGTGGGGAGTGGCCTGACATGGGGGAGGGGGGGACTGACAGCCAATGTGCCTATGAACAAGGTTGGACACTGGTGCACTGCTTCTCTGAAGGGCAGCTTCAGAATCATATGGAACTTTCTGGTAGTAGTTGCTATGTTTTTCTTTTTCTTTTTTTCCCCTTCCATTTTTAATTTAATGACCTCATTTATTCTTCTGCCTTTTTAACAATTCTCTTCATGCACCAAGTCAAACTTTATACTCACCATGGTGAACTGACTTAGGTAACAAAATACCACAGCCTGGGTGGCCAAATCCACAGAAACTGATTTTCTCACAGCTTGGATGTTGGAATTCTGAGAGGGCAGTGTCATTGGGGTTGATGTCTGCTGAGATCCCCACTTCTTGCTGGCCCTGCCACCTTTCCACCATGGTCTAATATGGCATTTCTTATGCCAGTGTGCAAAAAGAAATATCTCTTTCTCCTTTTTTAAAAAATATTTATTATTTTTATTTTATGTGTATGTGTGTATTGCCTGCATGTAGGTAAGTGCGCCCATGTCATGCAGTGCCCACAGAGGACAGAAGAGGCTGTCGGATCCCCTGGAACTGGAGTTACCAGCAGTTGTTAGCTGCCATGTGGGTGCTGGGATTTGAACCCTGGTCTTCTGCAAGAACAACCAGTGTCTTAACCTCTGAGCCAGATCTCCAGCCCTCCTTTCTCCTTTTTAAAAATTACTTTTAATTTTATTTTATGTGTTTGAGTATATTGCCTGCATGCATGTAAGTGTACCCATGTCCTGCAATGCTGGCAGAGGTCAGAAGAGGGCGTTGGAGCCCCTAGAAGAACTGGAGTTATGAATGGTTCTTAGCCGCCATGTGGGTGCTGGGAACCAAACTCGGCATGTGCTCTTACCTGCTGAGCCATCTTCCAGCCCTCCTTCCTTCTTAGAAGGAAGGCAGTCCTTTGGGGTTGGCCCTGCACCCTTAAGACCTCTTTTAACTCTATTTCAGCAAAGGCCCATCTCCAAATGCGGTCACCAAAGGTTAGCTCTTCAGCGGACATGTTTTGAGGGGACAGAATTGTCTGAAACAATCCATAAGGTCTCAAGGCATTTTTCTTTTTCTCCCAGGGTCCTACTGTGCGACAGGCAAGAGTCCCGCCCAGGGGAATGGCTGGTTAGGAAATTCTTTGGCTCCCTGCCAGAGTCTTGGGCCAGTGGGTACTCTGTGCCTGTGCTGGCAGTGGTTAGAGCCATGCTGAATAACATGGTGAGTCCCAGCAGTGGGCAGATGGAGCTGCTGGAAAACAAAGCCATCCTCCACCTGGGGAAGGCCAGTGCCCTGCCCAAACTGTGACCGTCCTGGAGGAGGGCTTGTCCATGCGAACCTCGGTGCCTGTGGCCAGATCTATAAAGTCTGTGTGTGGCCCTTCTTGGCATCCTACTTCTCAGCCACGCAGCTCCACCAAGAAACAACGGTGCTCTGCTCCAGTGTACAGAGCCTGGTGTACGTGGGGGTCACCAGGGAGCTTGGGAAGGATAGAGGTTTGTGCTACAAGCCTTCGGGAGTTTCCAGGTTCTGGGCAGAGAGCTGAGGTTTTCTTTTGTTTCTGAGTCCACTGCGGTTCCAACGCCACTGGTCTGAAGCCAGCTTGGAAGCACTCCAGCAGTGGAGGAGGAATCCTTACATACTGGGCGGCTGAGGGCTGTCCTAAGTGCTGACACTCATGTCTGAGTTACACCGTGCTGAAAAGATACATGTGAACACCAGGCTGCTAGAGTAAAACATGGAGTTATAAAAGTGAGCCTCTGTGAATTCATGGGGGGATGAAAATAAGTGGGCAGGTCCTGGGTGCGGCTTCAATTACTGTAAAATGGGACATGTTAGTGCTGCAGCGGTGGCCCGTGGGGGATGACGTCTCGCAGCTAACACTGATCAGGTGTCTGCAGAGTTCCACTGCAGGTGTTCTTGGCTCCCACCCTCCAGCCATCCTTACAAAGCTATGCCCTAGTCCTCAGCTTTCACTCTTTGTCTTTTAAATTTACTTGTTTTGGTGCTGGGAGTTGAGCTTAGCATCTTACATATGCTAGGTAAACACTTTACCACACTGAGCTATATTCCCACCCCTAAATTTTATCTTTATTCTCATATTTCAGATGGAGAAACTGAGGTTCACTATGGTTAAGCACTTTGCCCAAGGGTCTAAAGCTGAAAAGCTAAAGTTAGGAAACGGCAGAGCCATGATTCTAGTCAGCCTGACCCCATAGCTTGCAGTCCATCTCTCCAGAACCCCCCATAGCTTATCTATCTATCTATCATCTATCTATCTATCTATCTATCTATCTATCATCTATATATATATATATATAAAAGCTTATATACATATGTATATTTAAAATATTTTATTCTTATTTTATGTGTGTAAATGTATTGTGTGCAGGTAGGGAAGTGCACCTGTGTTGTGCAGTGCCCTCGGAGGTCAGACGAGGGCGTCGGATCCCCTGGAACTCGAGTTATAGACAGTTGTTAGCTGCCATGTGGGTGCTGGGATTTGAACCCAGGACCTCTGCAAGAGCAGCCAGTGCTCTTAACCACTGAGCCATCTCTCCAGCTCCACCCCTCCCAACCTATTTTTAACAACTTTGCAATCGTATTGTGTTCATCTGTTTCCAGGTGGTTCCAGTTAATTTTAGCACAGCATACATGAATAAAACTGAAATACCTGAGTTTTGCCAATGGACCTTTGTGCAGAGTTTAGAAATGGAAAGTTGGATGGGCCCAGGTACAGAAAGGCCCTGGATTCATTAATTTATTCAGCAAGTCCTTATCAAGATGGTGATAAATTAGCAGTCCAGACATAGGAGTCAGCACCTACTCTGCCCATGTCCTAGAATGTAAGGGAGCAGCAGACGTTAATAACTGAGGAGTTTCCTGTATGTTTCAGGTTAGACTGTAGTATGTGCCAGAGAAATAAAAGTAATCATTATGGGATAGTATTGTGGGAAAGAAGGAAAAGAGAGGAGAGGGAGGTGAGCCACCGTATCTGCTCTGGAAGAAGCCAGCTATTCCTGGACTCTCAGAGCCTATGTTAGGAATGGCGCCGAGAGAAAAGCTGTGGTCCTGGAGAGGACTGCCCGCCCACCGTGGAGCACCACTGATCAGAGCACACCAGGGCTCAGGGGTGCGCAGGTGGAGAGTCAGGCACTATCCAGCCCACGTCCACAAGGGTGCACCAGCAAAGTCTCGGATTGCAGCCTGAGTTATCACCTACCCCAAATTACTGCTGTCCACCCACCTGAGGGAAGTCTATGGGTAGCTAGGAGAGGCAGCCTGAGGGTGGGAATGGGCATTCTCCCCGCCCCGAACCACAGCAGCCAGATGCCGCTCAGCACATCCAATAGCATCCTCTTGAAGATACCACACGTCCCTGTTCCCTAAGCACTTTACACCCATATACTCTTTTTCCTTTTAAAAAAAAAATTATTTCTATTTTGATTTTATGTGTAGGAGTGTACTGCCTACATGTGTGTAAGTGCACCCGTGTTGTGCAGTGCTGTGGAGGTCAGAGGAGGATGTCGGATCCCCTGGAACTGGAGTTATGGACGGTTGTTAGCTGCCATGTGGGTGCTGGGACTAGAACCCGGGTCTTATGCAAGCGCAGCCAGTGCCTTCACCGCTGAGCCATCTCTCCAGCCCTCAGTTTGCCACTTTAAAGCCCTGTGGGAGGTTGGCCCGGTTGGCCTCACCAGTGCGCACACTGCCTGCACATGGGTCAGCGGAAACTTGGGCCTCCACGGTACTCCCTCTGCACTGCAAGGCCCTGGACTGTCGGCTGCACTGTCCGCCTCGGCCGCCAGGGGGCGCCGCGGCAGGTCCCGCCTCTTCCCCGTGATGGCCGCCGAGGTAGGCGGCTCCGCTCTGGATGCACCCCAGGAACGAGGGGCGCTCGGGGGCCGCGGCGCCCCACTGCGGGGCCTCTGGGTGTCGGACCTGCAGCTCGGACACGGCCTGCGAGAACATACCTCCTCCGTCACGTCCGAGCACACCACCCTCGGCCCTCCTAGCGCGCACGCGCCGCATCCGCGGAGGAGGCGGGGCCAGCCGTCGCCCCGCCCACGCACCCACGTGACCCGGAAGCGCTCCCCGCTCGGCGTCCCCGGAACGCCCGCTCCCGGCGGCGCGCACTCGTGCCCGCGCGTGTTCGGACGCGACCATGTGCTCGCTGGCGGCGGGCCCGGGTGGGCGAGGTGGGTTCTGCGGGCGGGGACCGGGGTCGGGGGCGCGGGGCGGGCTGGGTTCCGGGCCCGGCTGACGCTGTGTCCCGCAGGCCGCGGCGAGCAGGAGCCGGAGCCCCCGGAGCTGTCGGACAGCGGCGACGAGGCGGGCTGGGAGGACGCGGACGCAGAGCCCACGCACGACCGGCGGCACACGCCCTGCCTGTTCTGCGACAGGTTCGTGGGGAGCCGGGCCAGGGCGGCGAGCGGGAGCCGCTGGACCCACGTGCTCGGGGGCTGCTCCCCTGCTGCGCGCGGTCTCCCGCCTCCGGTCGCTCCAGGAGTCCAGATCTGCGGTGCACCGGCCTCCGGGAGCTGCAGGAACGACGGGCTCTCAGCCAGGCCTGGAGCCCGGCACCCTGGAGGCTGAAGCAGGAGAGTGGCCACGAGTTCCACGCCGCCCCCGGCCACCTAGCCCGACCCTAACTGGAACGAACCCAGCTTCTGGTCTGCGCACCTGCCTGCGCCCAAGTCCGGGACGGCCCTGTGAAGACACCGACAGTGGTTCTGGGCCTGTTCCTGGTGGGCCACACGGCCCCCAAGAGCCCTTCCACGTCTCCTGTAGTCGGACCAGCGTGCTTCCGGGTGTAACAGTCCCGTGTGAGCCATTTAAACTCCTAGGTCGCTTTCCCTAGTTAAGGAAAGAATTGATGCTTTTTGACGTAGGTCAAAAGAGACTTGACAGCTGGGCGTGGTGGCGCACGCCTTTAATTCCAGCATTCAGGAGACAGAGACAGGCAGATCTATGTGAGTTCAAGGCCAGCTTGGCCTACATAGCTAGTTCCAGGTCAGCTGCAGGGAGACCCTGTCTCAAAAAGACCAAAAAAAATGAAAAAAGAAAAAAAAAATCCAGAGAGACTTGACTTGTTCAAGGCCACAAAGTCGTGGTTTGTATTCCCAGAACACACGTTCTTTCCACTTAATTCAGCATCTTTGTCTCAAGAAACTGATGGGTGGTGTGGGCCTGAAAGAGGCCCGGTTAACACTGGCCAGTGCTGCCACATAGACCTGCTGCCTCCTCCCCAGTTCTGGGCTGTGCTAGCTGGTGGCACTAGTGTTCCCTCAAGTACTTCCTGACAGAGGAGTGAGCAGGCCCTACAGTAGCATGAAGTAGAATTGAGCATGTGTGGTGCAGGGCCCCGTGACAGGCTGTGGGGACCCACATGTCCGTGGTGGCACTAGGTGCACAAGGTGCTTGGTATCTCTGTATTCCCCATGTCCTTCAGCTTTGTAGGTCGTAAGAAAGGAGGTGCTGGGGAATCCATGCACTTGGATCCTGGCACTGGAACTGTGCCAGCCATGCAGTTACACAGTACACTTTATTTGTAAAAGCAGTTTGCCAGTTCCCCAGGAGGAGAAAAGCTCAACTAGGGGATTTTTGTTACTGTAGAGAAAAATGTGTCCGGGGAGCTCTGTTGCCTCAAAGCCTTTGATAAATCCAGTGTTGGTATTTAAGTGTACGTTTCATGTGAGGTCACTATGTAGACGTCCCAGGAGGTGATTCCCTGAGGCTGTCGCTTGATTTTTTTTTTTTTTCAGGTTATTCACATCTGCTGAAGAAACATTTTCACACTGTAAGTTGGAGCATCAGTTCAGTATTGATACCATGGTCCATAAGCATGGTGAGTACTTAGAATAAAGACAGTTTTGCTTATAAAGTTTAGGTTTACATTTTATAATTTTCCAAACCTTTCATTTTTTTTTTCCTTTGGCACACGTATACATACGTGTTCACATGTGTGTGGAGGCCCCAGGTTGGCATCATCGCTCTTTCCATTGTTGTTCTCCACCTCTCATCTGAACCCAGAGCTCACTGCTGACTGCCATAGTCTCACCAGCCAGCTGGCTCCAGGAAGCTACCTTTGCCGCCAAGCACTGAGCGTACAGGTGGGCAACCAAGCCTACCTGGTATTTATGTGAGTGCTGGGGGTCTGAACTCTGGTTCATGCTTGCATAGCAGGTGCTGTGCCCACTGAGCCGTCTCCCGCCCCAGCCCCTTCATTTTCTGTGCAAGTCAGTGCCAGGAAAGGGCAGCAACATAAGAAAACGTTCTCTTGACAGTTGGGTTTCTTGTTTTGTTTTGTTGGTCTTTTTGATACAAGGTCTCCCTGTTGCCCCAGAGGGCCTGACACTCGCTATGTAGACTAGGCTGGCCTCGATCTCACAGAGATCCACCTGCCCCTGCCTCCCTAGTCCTGGGACTAAAAGTGTGCCACCATTGACTGGCCAAATGACTTTCTTTTAAATAAAGATTAGTAGGTCACTCTCCTAGATAAATTCACTCTGTTTAAGCTGCTAATGGACTAGCAACTAAAAAGAGAGAAAAATGCCTTAGACTATGGTTGGCTTTTCATCCTGTTAGAATTCAGGTGGAGGTAGCGGTAGCCGCAGGAAAGGAGGTGGTTGCTATGTAGACAAGCATCAGAGTGTGGAGTCAGCCTCAGGAGCTACAAGGCTGAGTGTTGAATGTGTACTAGAGAAGATGGGAAATGCAGTGGGGTGCATTAAGGTGGTGTAAACACTGAGCTGAGGTTTCTGTTGGCTTGTGTTTAAACATATTTCCCTTATTAAAGCCCCTGCTTCTTTAAGTGGGTAGGAAAACACTATACAGTTTCACCATAATTAAATAGAGAATCGAATTTTTTGGTCTCTGTTTCTTTTAACAGCTAGAAGGGATGTTATTAAGGAAAAAGAAATGCTAGACTTGGCCACCTCTCCTCTTTCTCTTTCTCTGTCTGTCTGTCTGTCTCTCTCTCTCTCTCTCTCTCTCTCTCTCTCTCTCTGTGTGTGTAGGCTGCAGCAGGATGCTGTGTATCTTTCCTGCTTGTCTGCCCTGAGGCCTTCAGATGGGATCTGTCATTGAACCCGAAGTTCGTTGTTTCAGTTGGGCTGGCTGGCTAGTGAGCTCTCAAGATGCGCCTGTCTCCACACCCCCAGTGCTAGGGTTACATAGTCATGCTTAGCCTTTGCCTACATGTATGTAACTGCACCTATGCCGTGCAATGCTCACAGAGCCAGAAGAGGGCATCAGATCCCCTGGAACTGGAGCCACAGAAGGTTTGAGCAGCCATGTGGGTGCTGGGACCAAACCAGGTTCTTACAAGAGCAGCCAGTGCTCTTAACCCCGAGCCATCTTTCTAGCCCCCAATATCCAGCTTTTACATGGGTGCTAGGGATTTGGACTCAGGTCCTCCCTCTGAACCATCTCCCCAGCTCCCTGATGAAGCATTCTAAGCTGAATTAGAATCAGACTTTTTTTCTGCTTTCCATTACTGGATTTTTTTGTGGGCTGGTAAAGTTCCCCTCATTTCTCAGTAGTAACCGGTTTCCCCTGGAGACTAGTAACCAGTTCATCTCACGACAGACAGGGCAGCACTGCTCCCCTTTGTCTTATGTGCTGCTCTGTGATGCTATGACCAGCTCATCAGCCTTTTGATCTGCATCATGTGACTTTAAGCAAGAGCTGCTGGAAAGCCTGGGTAGGGGAAGTGCTTGTATAAGTGTGGGGCCCTCCAGCACCATGTAAAGCAGGGCTTGGCTGGGATGTGGTGTACATCATGCTGAACAGTAGAGACCCTGCCTTAACCAAGCTAGAAGGGTAGGACCAACACCCTTCTGTGGAGGTTGTCTTCTGACGTCCACACATGCCATGGACACACATACATCACACGATACACACAAAATGTTTTTTAAGAAGCTAGTAGACTTTGTCCATGATGTGTCTTAGCAAAGTTATAATTGGTATTTTCCATCTAAGTTAGGCATTTATAAGCTTTTAGCTCTAATATTCCATGCCAAATACTTGCTAAAATCTAGGACTCGGTTTTCTAGTGTGTATTGATCTGATAAAGGAGGTTTGAATTCCAAAAGTTGATTTCCTTTTTTTTAATATTTATTATTTTTATTTTATGAGTGTATTGCCTACATGTATATAAGTGCACCTGTGTCATGCAGTGCCCAGGGAGGTCTGAAGAGGGTGTTGGGTCCTCTGGAACAGGAGTTACAGATGGTTGTTAAGCTGCCATGTGGGTACTGGGAACCAAACCTGGGTCCTTTGCAAGAACAGTTAGTATTCTAAACCACTGAGCCATTTCTCTAGCCTCTGATTTCTTATTTTTATAGAAATACAGGAAAAGGGTCAGTGAGATAACTCAGAAGGTAAAGTCACTTGCCATGTAAGCCTGGTGACTTGAGTTCTAGCCCCAGAACCCACATAAACTGGGAAGGGGACCGCTGGCTGCACAGCTGTCCTCAGACCTCCACACGATGCACTGTGGCACATGCACCCCTGCTCCCCACATCACGCACATATAATAATAGTAAGTAAAATAAAAAACATAATAAAAATATTTTCAAACTTGTTTTGTAAGGCTCTTTCTCATAAAATATCAAAAAGTTTTCAAAATTATGATTTCTAATTCTTAACACAAAATTCAAAATATAAGTGGTATTAGATGTCAGAAATATCTAATTAGAGGAACATTTGCAGAGCAGATCATTAGACAAATACATTCTGTTAAAATCCATGAATTATCTTTTTCTTTTCCTTTTAGGACTTGAATTTTACGGATACATTAAACTAATAAATTTTATTAGACTTAAGGTAAGTTGATAATTAGTTCATAATTTTATTTAGGAATTTTAGAAGTGTGATGATGACTGGCACTGCAGCAGTTATTTAAAGGAATCTGAGGGGCTGTTTTAAATGAAGTCTTTATCATATTGTGGGAATTGTGGCTGTGAAGACAGAGCTCAGCGTGAACCTCTAGTGTCCACGTGCTTAGCACAGCAGGGTTAACCGAGCTGAGTCGGTACTGGGCAGAGTAGCCCAGCCGCAGGTAAAGGGACTCCTGACAGCATCTCTGTAAAATCAGAACTAACTTCTAGTCTAATCCCAAGTGCTTTGTGTACTCTTGCTGCATTCTTTTTTTTCAAATACTTTGTTCTTTGTCCTAATTAAATGAGTACTTGTGGTGGTGTCCTAATTAAATGAGTACTTGTGGTGGTGTCCCGCCTAAATCAGACTCTGCATAGAAATCATTTAAAATGGCAGGTAAATAACAAACTCCCTAAACACAGTCTAGTCTTGTGCTGTGCAGACTTGCTTTCTTTTTTTTAAGTTCCCACTTGTTACATGTAATGAGAAAATGTGCCATGAACTTCCCGCCCAGAACCCTACAGTTGAATATATGAACTCCATGTCCAGCCCGGTGCCTTGGGAGAGGGAAGAACACTTGAAGCCTGTGTTAGAAGATGACCTTTTACTTCAGTTTGGTAAGACAAACCTGCTGCGTCTGCTTTAGCTAGCTGATAGCCATTTGCTATGGTCAAGTGAATGAAGGCCGTGTGCTTATGAAAATGTTCATTAGCCCCCTGGGTCGGTGGCTTTGCCTGCCTTTGTTTGGTTACCTGTGGTCAATTGCTTAATGGGGAACTCTGGAAATAACCAGTTCATAAGATATAAGTTGCATGCTGTACTGAGTAGCATGGTGAAATATTGTGCCACCCAGCTGTCTCCCTGGGACGTGCAGCGTGGTTTAGTCCAGTATCCACGTGGTGGTGCTTTACCACCCCCCTCACCCGCCCCCACACCCCGGGCAGTTTTGGTTATAGGGCTGACTGTTACAACACCACAGTGCTCAGGCCTAAGTAATCCTGTTCAAGAGACTAGTCACATAATTTTTATTAGAGCATCTTGTTATATTTGTTAGTTGGTAATCTCTTCCTCTGTCTGATTTATACATTAAAACTTGATAAAAGGTATGTGGAAGGGAAACCCAGTGCCTAGGGTTTTGTTTTAGGTATCTTGATGTGGGTCCTGGAGCATGCTCCTCCATGGATAAGAGGGTTAATCTCTAAAGAACTCATTAGGCAGTCGGTTTTCACAGAAAAATTGAGTCATGGGGCTGAGGATGTAGCTCAGTTGATAGAGTGCTTGCCTACCATGCACTAAGATTGGGTTTGATCCTCAGCACCACATAAACTGCACTATAATCTCAATCCCAACAGATCTATGCACTAACACTGCATCCAGGTCCACACACTGACACCGCATCCAGGTCCATGCACTGACACTGTATCCAGGTCCATGCACCGACACTGCACCCAGATAGATCCACGTAGCACCGACACTGCACCCAGGTCCACATAGCACCGACACCACACCCAGGTCCACATAGCACCGACACTGTACCCACATAGATCCACGTAGCGCCGACACCGCATCCAGGTCCACATACTAACACCGCATCCACATCAGCGCACTAACACCAAACCCAGACCTGGTGGCAGGAACAGGAGGCCAGCTGCTCGCTTTGCATCTCCCATCAGAGGCCTGGGGACCCTGTGAAACCTCAGGGTCTTCTCCTGGGGACTCATTTCCTGTAGCAAGACTCCACCTCCTAAAGGTTCTACAGCCTTCCAGATAGTGCCCCCAGCTGGGGACCAGGTGTTCACATCCGTGAGCCTGTGGGGGACCTCCACCTTGAAACCTTGGAGGGCTGTGGTAGGGGTGGGGTGCTCAGCCTTCAGGCAAGCATTCTGTGTTTAGATGTAGAAGACCTGTATGAGCCGGTGTCTGCCCCCTTCTCATACCCCAATGGGGTCAGCGAAAATACGTCTGTGGTTGAGAAGCTGAAACGCATGGAGGAGCGGGCGCTGTCTGCTGAGGCTGCCTTGGCCAGAGCTCGGGAGGATCTGCAGAGGATGAGGTAATGGCCTGACCCAAAGCCAGTGCTGCGTGGTCCTGGAAGGGAAGGAAGGTAGTGGCCGGGAAGATCACCCATGTAGACTTGCGGTATAGACAGTGTTTCAGGAGTGTTCCAGACATGGAGTGTTTTACACAGTGTGAGTAGAGATTACTGTAAATGTTTATTTTATGTATTCTTTATTTATTTAAAAAAAATATTTTATTATTTTTATTTTATGTGTATGCATGTACTGCCTGCATGTAGGTAAGTGCACCCGTGTCATGCAATGTCCGCAGAGGACAGAAGAGGCTGTCGGATCCCCTGGAACTAGAGTTAGGACAGTTGTTAGCTGCCATGTGGGTGCTGGGATTCGAACCCGGGTCTTCTGCAAGAACAATCAGTGTCCTTAACCACTGAGCCTTTCTGGGTGTGGTGGTGCACACCTTTAATCCCAGCAATTAGGAGGCAGAGGCAGGTGGATCTTTGTGAGTTCAAGGCCAGCCTGGTCTATATAGTGAGTTCCAGGGTTGCTGGGGCTACAGGGAGACCCTGTCTCAAAAGCAAATAAAAAGACAAAAAAAATTTTATTTTTTATGTGTATGCGTGTACTGCCTGCATGTATGTGTGTAAGTGCACCTGTGTCATGCAGTGCCCACGGAGAACAGAAGGCATTGGATCCTCTGGAACTGGAGTTACAGACAGTGGTTAGCCATCATGTGGGTGCTGGGAATTGAACCCAGGTCTCTGCGAGAGCAGCCAGTGCTGTTGACTGCTGAGCCGCCTCTCCAGCCCCTTACTTCCCTCATAACTACGTTTGCAGCTGCAGGAATGGCTCTGACGTCCTTGCTAGCGTCTTTGCGTCCAGTGTTTCCTACCTTTCGGTTTTTCTGTTTGTAGTTGGTTTTCCCACCTTAATTTTCCTGTCAGGTTTTCAGACGTGGAAAGCTTAGTATTTTTTAGGTTTTGGGAAAGTACCATATTGAAATTTTTGTGTGTTTTTTTAAATATTTTATTTATTTTTATTTAATGTGTATGGGTGTATTGCTTGCATGTAGGTAGGTAGGTGCACCTGTGTCGTGCAGTGTATAGGTCAGTAGAGGGCGTCAGATCCCCTGGAACTGGAGTTACAGACAGTTGTTAGCCACCATGTGGGTGCTGGGAATTGAACCTGGGTCCTCTGCAAGAGTAGTCGGTAGTCTCAATTGCTGAGCCACCTCTCTAGCTCCGAAATTTTTGTGTTTAAAAAAAAATCAAAATGTAGTCCCAGTACTTGGGAGGCAGAGGCAGGCAGATCTTTGTGAGTTCGAGGCCAGCCTGGTCTATATAGTGAGCTCTAGGACAGCTGGAGCTACAGGGAGACCCTGTCACTAAAAGACTAAAAAAATCAAAATTAAAAAAAAATCAAAATGTAGTTGGGCGTGGTGGCATGCCTAGTACTCAGGAATCAGAGGTAGGCAGATCCCTTGCCTGGTCCACATAGTGAATTCCAGGCCAGCTCGGCCTATAGAAGACCCTGCCTTTAAAAAAAAAAAAAAGCTGCAAAACAACAAAATGCAAATGTGGTTTAAGCAAAGAGCCAGAAAGACAAGGACAGCTCCCCACTGAGTTAGCACTCTTCCCAGCAGGCTTCTCTAGGGAGCTGCTTAGGGGAGCTGCTGGTCAGGAGGGCAGCAGCAAGGTAGTCCATGTGCCTCCCAGGTTCTGCTTGTTAGCTTTGTGAGCTGTCTGTTGGAGTCTGGGCAGAATGTCTGCCCTGAGGAGAGCAGAGTCAGTCTGCATTCCTGGTCCTTGTTTCTGACTTTTATGCTCAGGGGCCTCATAGCCACCCCACTTCTCCCTTCTGCCCTCTTCCTCCTGTTCTTGGACCCCTTGGGGCTCACTGATGTGTGGCCAGTGTGAGAGCCTGGGTGGGGGTGCTGAGTGTGTTAGTAATCAGCCAGCTGGAGGCTACTTTCCTCCCATTCAGCCTCCCAAGAGATGCAGTTTGAAGAATGTTCACAGTTAAAATAGGCTTCGTTGATTTAGATGCTAAGAAAGATTTCACAGCAGTAGGAGACACGTTTAAATAGAGCAAGTCTCCTTCCTAGCTCATGGACAGGTACCACAAGGTGGGCAGCCAGCTGAGGCTCTAGGATTTGCAAGTGTGCTCAGGACTGGTTGTGACGGTGCTGTTGCTTCAGGTCCAGCAGGGGGCGCTGTTGGGTGCTTTGGAAAGTGACTTGGTGGTTCCGCACCCCTCCCCTCCTCCCCCTCCAGCTTCTTTCATGGTCCAGCAAACCTGTCTCAAGGGTGTGTTTCAAATTGATTACAGACAATTTGCTCAAGACTTTGTGATGAACACAGATGTCAGAACATCTACGCCTGCCATTGCCGACCTGGAGGATGAAGATGGCGTCTACTTCAGCTCCTATGGGCATTATGGGATACACGAGGAGATGCTGAAGGTTAGGACAGCGCACGGGTGGCACGCCTCACCAAATGGGGAGCCCAGCAGAGCAGGTTTTCACTTAACATCCAAGGGGTATGAGAGGTACTGCTCTTTTTTTTTTTTTTTTTTTTAAAGAACTGAACCTCTTTGGTCTTTAAATAACTGATCTTCATTCAGATGAAAAGATTCCAGAGGCATCAAGTCCCTGTAAATCCTGTTTAAGTCGTTGCTCGTATTTCTTAGGAAGTCACCTTTTCCCTGAAGTGGAACATTGGAAAAACAACTACATGATGGCTTCCGCCGTCTCAGGAACCACTGCGTGCTAGGTGGAATTAAAGGGCTTGTTTGTCTTTGACATGGAAGGAAAGCAATGGATTCTGTGTCTCCATCGCAGTCCTGACTTAGAGCAAACTGTTATGTTTTGTTTATTCTCTGTTATAAAGTTTAATAAAATGGGCCTCACAGGTTCCATGACACAATCCTCATAACCTGTGGGGTCACTGATGTTACAGGAATTGGTTACGTCAGATATTCAAAACTGGTTATTTTTAGTTTTTGTAGTGGTACTATAAGATATATTACAGTAGCAAGATTTTTAATTCAGTAAAACTGAAAATAATCTAATATAAAATAAATGCTGACATATAAAAATTCCTGACACTTAGATGTTTATCTCTAGGAATTTTAGATGTCAATAGAAATCCTTTCCTAAATCCTCCTGCAGAGACTATTCTGTTTAACGGAAGCTCAAGGACTAGACGTGCCCCAGGTGCGCCTCTCAGTCAGCTGTCATTCATTGCACGGGGACAGCTGTGTATCAGGTTTGGAGAGTGAGTGGAACAACTAGTGCCGTGTGACCTCTGATCAGCGCTGGCGCAGCTGGTGACGTCGTGGCTGGCGGGCAGTGACAGCGCTGGAGATCATAGGACAGCACTGGCAAGCCGAGGATTGGCGAGCTCCTGCTCTTTGTGGAAGTCAGTCTAGAGGCCTGGAATGTTGATCTGAGGAGTTCGTCTGTGCCCGGGCGGTCTTCAGTCCTCACCCTTCTGTGCCTGTGCTTGTGACTCTCCAGGCAGGTCCGGGTCACGGAAAGCCCCAGTGGACAGGAGTGTTCTCCCTGCAGTGACCAGGGAAAGCCTGTTTGAGTGTTCTGTGCTGCCCTGGACACTGTGTGTCTGTGTCAGTAGCTAGAGGCCCAGACACGATCAGTATGTTCTCTGGGATGTGCCTGGGGACTCCAGCTACAGGCGTGCAGCGCTGTCTTTCCCTGGAGAGAATAACTTAAGCATCCTCATTAAGTCCTGTGCCTTAGTTTCCCTTGCTGGGTACAGTGTGGTCACTCTCGGAGATGACTTAAGCGGTCGTAGGAAAAGCACTGTTGATCTGTTTGATGTACTTAGCTCTGTTAGAAAGTGAGCCCACCTTACAGCTGGCCGTGTCTCTTGCTCTCACCAGAACAGTTCTTGGCACAAATGCACTGTCCAGTGTGACCTGCTCCTGGAAGCCTGCCCAATTCTTCATGTAAATTGGGAAGCCTGGCCTTGCTTTTTAGAATATGATAGAGGCTTTTTTTTTTAGTCTCAGACATTTTAAAAACGTTTATTATTTTCATTCTATGTGTATGAGCGTACTGCCTGCATGTGTGTAAGTGCACCTGGGTCATGCAGTGCCCACAGAGGTCAGAAGAGGGTGTCAGATGGTTGTTAGCCATCATGTGGGTCCTGGTCTTTTGCAAGAGCAGCCAGTGTTCTTAACCACTGAGCTATCTCTCTAGCCCCCATGTCTCAGACACTTTTTTTTTTAATTTTTATTTTTTATTTTTTTTGGTTTTTTTGAGACAGGGTCTCCCAGGTGCTTGGATTAAAGGCAGGCACCAGTGTCTCAGACATTTTAATTCCATTGTTTTGGTGAACATTTTGACTATAGTTTTAAATAAAAGAAGTTTGTGATCTCATTTCTAAAGTTAGGGTAAAGATAATTATTTTGGATTATAAAGGTAAGAATAGGTCACATGAACTTTAAGTAGCCCTTGCCACTTTCTGTTTTTTCGGAAGAGTTTTGACTATGATCTAGATCACTGTGTGCTCTTTTCCAGGGCTCTTGCCCTGGGTGTGCGTGTGTCACAGGTTATCGTGTGGTTTAATGATGTGAAATGTCAGTATTTCCTTACACAGCTCCTGGCCTCTGCAGCTGACCCCTGCTGTTACCTTCCTAAGCCTGCAGATTGAACACAGTGTTACTGTGTCCAGTTGGGGGCAGCTCAGTGCTCCGCTCCTGGAGTCCCATTGTTCAGATTACTGTCTCCAGAGGAGTGGCTCTGACTCCTTGGTTCCAAGGAGCTCTGATTTTGCTCCTTGCTGCTTCTTAGCTTTAATAGGCTGATGTGAAAGGTGATCTTTCTTATTTGTTTCATATTTGTGTATTTTTTTAAAAGTTTTGGGAATTATGTTCTGTTTTGTTCTTAGAGTTTTCTTTGAGACAAGATGTCCTGGAGCCTAGGCTGACCTGGTACTCTCTAAGTAGTCAAGAATGACCTTGAACTCCTGATTTTCCTCACCACTACCCCCAACCCCCGCTTTGAGAATACAAGCCGGCCTGCCATGCCTGGCTTAGAAATTTTAAGGCTAGTTTTTAAAAATTTGCTTTCATATTTATAGTTAGTAGGTTTTTCTAGAGAAACAGTTCATTCTACCGGAGCTCTGCTAGAGGTAGGATGTTCTGTGTGGGTACTTGGGTTTCCTTACACTGGTCAGCTTAGGAAAACACACATGAATATACAGAGGCCACACGGATGAGCACAGCTCAGCGGAGCAGCTGTGCATGGAGCTAGGAAGGCAGTTGGGGCTGCTGATTAAGTGGAGAGGCAGAGTGACCGGTGAGGTCCCAGCTGCTGTGCCTGTGACCTGTGCCTGTGACCGAGGCTGACGGGTGAAGTCCCAGCCGCTGTGCCTGTGACGGAGGTTGAGGGTTGGAGGCTGACGGGTGAGGCCCCATCCGTGGTGCCTATGACCGAGGCTCACTCGCTGACTCCTATTGTTTCAGCAAAAATCATGGCTTTTAGTGTAGTGTGAAAAATAAAAGTCTATGAAACAGTATGCTTTTAATTCTCTTCGAGAATTTCATGTGTGTATTCAATGAAGCATGGTCATAGCCAACCCCTTTCCCTCCTCCAGTTCCCCCATGGGCAGCACCAGTTGGGTTATCCAGTTGAAAGGAGCGGACATGAACTTTGGAGCATGCCTTGTTTGGGGTTCGGGCGAGTTGTTTTTATTAGTTACATTTTTATTTTGCGTGGGCGGTGAGTGGATGGCTGAGTGGTGGTTCATTGTGGGAAGAACAAGGTCTGTATAGGGTCAGGACAGATGTAGCAGTTTCCTTAAACATTGAAGCCACAGAATCGGAGTGCACAGGTAACAGGGTGGTTCTGGTTTTCTCCCAAATGGGAAACCCAAAGCTAGCTTCTCTCCCGGTGGGAGTATTCGGCTTTCCTCCTGGTGCAGAGGCCTCAGCCCCTCATGTGCAGGTAGCGTGTCTTGGCCTGGGCAGGCGGCGCTGGTCACCAGTGAGTGCGAGGGTGCCAGGACCAGCCTTGCCACGGTTCACGTGCAGCTGCTGCTGTGGGCTGCAGGGCTCAAATGATTTGTTCTCAGCCTACAGGCTTGGAGGTGCCATTTCCTCCCACCAGCATTTCCAGAAACGAGAGCGCCATGAATCAGGTGCTGACGGGCCTCTTCTAGACTCGCAGCTTCGGTTTTCACATGCAGCTGCAGCTCGTGCACGCTCGCTTGCTCGCGCTGACCCCGCCCGGTGGGCTGCAGGGCTCAAATGATTTGTTCTCAGCCTACAGGCTTGGAGGTGCCATTTCCTCCCACCAGCATTTCCAGAAACGAGAGCGCCACGAATCAGGTGCTGACGGGCCTCTTCTAGACTCGCAGTTCGGTTTTCACATGCAGCTGCAGCTCGTGCACGCTGGCTTGCTCGCGCTGACCCCGCCCCGGTCTGTGTTTGCTGTGGCTTCAGTGCAGGGAGCCCGGGCTCCAGGTCCCGAGCTCTGTGTGAAAGCGTTAGTTGTCGTTCCCACTGGAGGCCTGACGGTGGGGCTCTGGGAAGAGCGATGTCCGAGTTTAAGAAGTGGCTGCATCTGCTTCAGCCCCCATGCTGTAAAAGCAAACACCTTTTCGTTACCGTTATTCTCTGCTGCTTTCTTTGAGAGAAACACTAATAATACAAAGCAGGCTTGGTTCTCCAGGCAGCACGTAGCTGAGGGAACCAGTGGTGCGTGGTGCGTAGTAGGAGGTGCGTGGTGCGTAGTAGGGGAGGTGCGTGGTGCATAGGAGGTGCGTGGTGCATAGGACGTGCGTGGTGCGTAGCAGGTAACTTCACGGTCCGCTCAGACTGTCCCTCTAAACACCGTGCTTTTCCTTTCTACCCTAGGACAAAGTACGCACCGAAAGCTACAGAGATTTTATATACCAAAACCCGCACATCTTCAAAGATAAGGTGAGTGCGCACGTTGGCCCCCGTCCTTTCTCATCGTTCCTGGGCGGTGGAGACCGCTGTGCATCATCCGCCCGATAGCCGCAGATTTACACACCCTCTTTGTTTTGTGGAAGACTCTGATGCTGATGCTGTGTGGTGCTGGCACCGATAACAGAGCTGCTGGTGGCACTGTGTTTCACGGTGGCCTTTTTAGAGCTGGAAGTCATTAGGTACAGGGAGCAGAGCCTAGCTGATCTGCCTATCCGGTTTGTCTACACTGTATTTTTATATATATAGTAATTTATGAGAATTTCAAGTTTATTAGATAAATTCCATGTCAAAGTACACTTTATTATTATTCACAGTGACTGTTAAATGTTAAAATTATTAATTTTAAGACGTTAATGAGTAGGATGAAATATAAGCTAGAGTTTAGTCTGCATTGTTTAATCCATTATTAATTTACCCTTTAAGAGATATCTTAATGCCAGTCATAGTGGCACACACCTTTAATCCCAGCTGTTGGGAGGCAGAGGCAGGCAGATTGAGATTGAGGCCAGTCTGGTTCACTAGTGACTTCCAGGTGGCCTGGGACTAGGGAGACCCTGTCAGAAAAATTTTTTAAAAGGCATCTTATGATTAGTTTTAATGCTGTCTTACTATTTAAAATTTTTATAACATTTTATTCATTTATTTTACTTTTTTGTTGTTTTTTTTTTAATATCTTTTGAGACAGGGTCTCTCTGTAGCCCCAGCTGGTCTAGAACTCACTGTGTGGACCAGGCTGGCCTTGAACTCACAAAGATCCCTGCCTCTGCCTCCTGAGTGCTGGGATTAAAGGCGTGTACCACCATGCCTGGCTTTATTTTACATGTTTTATTGTATATGTGGGGTGGGCATGTATGTGTCATGGAGTGTGCATGGTTCTCTCCTTCTACTATTGAGTTCCAGGAACTGAACTCTGGTTGTCAGGCTTGGCAGCAAGTACCTTGATCCATGAGCCATCTTCCTGGCCCTGTATATGTCCATCCATCCATGTCCACGTGTGTCTGTGTCCATCCTCACTTCACTGTGCATGTGCCAGGGAACACTGGTAGAGCTCAGAGAACAACTTGCCAGGGTCCAGTCTCTTTCCACCATGTGGGCTCCTGGGGTGGCACTGGGCTTGGGGGCAGGTGCCTTTGTTTGCAAGCTGTCTTTCAGCCTCTTACTTAAAAGACTATTGAAGACTCTCTGGGTGGGGCAGTCCTTCCTCTTACGCTAATGTGCACATTTTCTTTCTGCTAATTTAGTCAAGAGCCTGGAGTTCTTCCATTTGAGTACCTCTGCCTGGGATGTTCTTCTAGGGCCTTTTCAAGGATATGTATTTTGGCAACAGCAGGTTTTGACTCTCAGTTCTGCTTTCAAGGTCTCTGTAAAGTTGCTTCTTGGGCTTTGGCTCTTAACTGGAGCAGGCGTGGAAGCCTTTGCTGTGAGAGCTCCTGGTTTCCCATTGTCTGGGCAGAGCCAGGATGCTTTCTGTTCTCTTTATGTGTAGGTGTGTGTGCCTGAGTGTATGTTGTGTGTCCCTCTCTGTGTCCCACATGTGTGCAGTGCCCTCAGAGGCCAGAAGAGGAAGTGGTTATGTGTTGCTTGATAAGGGTGCTGGGAACTGATTCAGGTCTTCTGTAAGAGCAGCCATTACTCTTAACTACTGAGCCATCTCTCCAGCCCTGGCTTGCTGTTTTCTAACCTCTTTCCTGAGAGCAGTGTTTTATTCTTAACTTGATCAAACTGTGAAGTTCACATGGTGTTCAGGGTCCCTTAGATGGCGCTCCCTGTCACGGAAAGTTTACAGTGATGCTTGTTCTTGTTGATGATCCCCACAGACAAATAAATGATGAAAATTTGAAGTCACGATTATTGGTTCTTTGGTTTTATGTTTTGGGATGGAGGCTAAGCATTCTTTCATAGGTCTCATTTGCATTCAGGCTAGAGAATTTGATACATGTATCTAAAATGGCTGTCTTTAGTGAAGCACTCTGCATCTCCAGCGGTTGTGCAGAGTTTTGTGTGGTGTTTCACTTTCCTCCTAAGCTAATCAGCTTGGCCAGTCGGGAGCCAGCTTAGAGTCTGGGCAGGCAGACATTGCCCTGCACCTGGTCTGCAGATGGTCTTGGGAATTGTTCCTGTGCTGGAATTCTGTGGCCTCCACTGTTGTCGGAGCCCCTTCCCAGCACCTGGCCAGGAGCACCACAGGAAGCAGGTGAGTTAGAGGGTTTTCTTTCCATACCTTCTGAGTAGACTTTTACAAGAAAATAACCAAAGGGGTTCGGATATTAACGTCTTTCAGAAAGAAGCATTCCTGTCATCAGGGTGGGCGGTTCTGTGCCCTGTACACGGCCCCTGTAGTTTGTGTCCATCTTCGGTGCAGCACTGTTTTCAAGTGTATGGACTGGAGAGATGGCTCAGTGGGTAAAGCACTTAGCACGGGAGCTTAGGGACTGGAGTTCAGATCCTGAGCACCCATGAAAACACCAGTTTCCATGGCAGCAGGCCTGTAGTCCTGGTGTGCCAGAGGCCCAGCCAGAGGTTGCCCAGACCAGCCAGATAGTCGAGTTCTGGGCTCAGGTGAGACCGTACCTCGGTGTATAAGGTGGAGAGCAATGGAATAAGGTACCCAGCACCATCCTCTGGCCTCCACATGCTTGCACACACACGGATGGCCCATCTGCATTCATGTATGCCTCCACATCTGAACATGCACGAGCCCTCCCCCCCAAACAAAAACATTGTGTACCTTATACCCTTGTAAAGAATCATGGGAAACAGTGTCTACTCATTTTGTAGTCTTCCTCGCCTTCCTCGTCATGCGCTGATAAAGTTAAATTTCAAGTGCCTCAGGCAAAGCCTGTGTCTGTGACCTTTTTGGTCCTGCAGCAAGATGGGTGATGGAGTGGGAGAACCCCCTGAGCCAGAGAGTCTGCTGGAAGGGCATTGAATGAGACCCTCCTGACAAGGTGGAAAAGTAAGGACCTCTGCACATGTGCCGTGGCGCGCACTGCCCTCACAAGCACACGGGTTTCCTTACAGATACTTGTAATTAAAAGTGCTCCTCCTTCCTTCCTTCCTTCCTTCCTTAATATTTCAATTCTCAAAACTCCTGTGGAGGCCATATGGTGGTTCAGATTAATTTAACTTTGGGTGACTTTAGTCATTCTTTTGCGTACTCATGATTAGTTCTGTTTGTAGTCCACTGAGGAAATCCCCAGTCAGGTGCCTGTTTATGCTTCTGGCTTTTACTTACAGTCACAAATAAGCTCATTTACTTTTTCTATTTAATGATTTATTTTTATTTCTGTGTCTGCCTGTGTCTCTGTGTGTACATGAACGCAGTGCCTGTGGAGTTCAGAAGAGGGCATCCGTTCCTGGAACTGGAGCCAACAGCCTCCTCACATAGGTGCTGGGTGCTAAACTCGGTCCTCTGCAGCATGTGCTCTACACTGCTGAGCTCTCCAGCCCCCTCCCCTTTTCAGAAAAAAAGGAAATCAACTATCATTTTATGAAATAACATTAATTTGTTCTGTTATTCCCACCACTTCCTTTGCCAGATTTTATCTAATCACTAAATTCTCAGCTAGATACAGTTACTAAAATTGAGTGAAAAGCTTGGCATGGTGGGACAGACCTCTAATCCCAGCACTCAGGAGGCAGAGGCAGGCTCATCTCTGTGAGATTGACACCAGCATGGTCTGCATAGTGGGTTCCAGGCCAGCTGGTGCTACAGGGAGATCCTGTCTCAAAAAAAAAACAAAAAGGAACCAAAAACCCCAAATAATCAATGAAAAATATCAAGTATAGATACTGGAAGGAGAAAAGTCTGTGTTTGAAGCTCTGTGATTTACCAGCTGTGGATTTTGGATCTGTTTCTTTCCCTCTCTGGTTTACTTTCCTCATTTGCAAAATGAAGATGAAGTAAAAAGTGTGTGTATGTTAGTATGTGTGTATGTGAGTATGCTTACACATTGTAAGTGTATATGTATTGCCTTGAAAAAACCAAATTCCTAGCCTGGTGTGGTGGTGCGCGCCTTTAATCCCAGCACTCGGGAGGCAGAGGCAGGCGGATCTCTGTGAGTTCAAGGCCAGCCTGGTCTACATAGTGAGTTCCAGGACAGCTGGGGCTTACAGGGAGACCCTGACTCAAAAAGACCAAAAAAAAACCCAAAAAACAAAAAACCAAATTCCTAATGGCTGGAGAGATGACTTAGTGATTAAGAGCACTGGCTCCTCTTACAAGCACCCACACGACAGCTAACAACCATCCCTAACTCCAGTTCCAGGGGATCCCATGCTCTCTTCTGGCCTTTGTGGGCATTGCATGATATGATGCACTTACATATGTGCAGGCAAAAAATAAAAAACCAAAGCATTCCTAGCTGGCTGGGCATGGTGCCACCTTTAATTCCAGCACTCAGCAGTCAGAGGCTGGTGGACATCTGTGAGGTTGAGGCTAGTCTACATACCAAGTTCCAGACCAGCTAGGGCTACAGGGAGACCTGTCTCCAAAGCAAAACAAAACACCCCAAACCTTCCTTTTCCTAGATTTATGTGTCTGCATGTGTCTGTGTTCTCTGTGGTCTCTTCCTTGTGTGTGCATGCACCAAGGCCAAATAAGGGTGTTGGCCTGCTGCTGTGAGGGCTTGCATTTTCTTGGCTGGCTGGAGGCCAGCAAAGTGCAGACACTCCTGTCTGCACCCCTCCCATCAGAGCTGGGGTTGCAGGTGTGCATAGGGTGTTAGGCTGGTTATGAGAGTGCTGGGATCTGAACTCACGTGTGCAAAGCGCATTAGGCTTGTTATGAGAGTGCTGGGATCAGAACTCAGGTGTGCAAAGAGCGTTAGGCTGGTAGAGTGCTAGGATCCAAACTCCATTCCTCATGATTGAGCATTGAGTGCTCTTAACCACTGAGCTGTCTCTTTGGGCCCGCCTCCCTTTTAAAAAGAAGTATATATCAGAGGAGGGAAGATGACAGAAACGTGCCA